TTTACTTTGCGGATCCGGTGAAGAACTTGCAAAACCAATTTTTGAGGTTTTAATTTTTTTTTTTTCAAATTTTTAAGGTCAAATATGCCGGCGCCATTATTTTTTCCCGTCGGCGTGAGGCTGTGTTATCGACCTTTTGCAATACCCTGTGTGGGATTGTCGTAGAAAAGGACGATGCTGTCTTATCTGTCGGGTGGTTTATTTGCTCGACGCAATGGGGCCTTTGCGCAGAAGGTTCTTTCGATAGACGTGTCTCTTGAATCCATCTACATCCTTTAGGGCACCTTATTGACGTAAGGACACCGCTTCTCGTCATCTGTGAGTATTTGTGTAAGACATTATTATTGTGGACACACGTTGCGCTGAGTGTTGAGAGGCGATGAAAAATCGTGTTTTTTGTGATCACTCTGCTCAAATGTATAAACTACTAAGACGCCTAATTTTTGAAAAAGCTTAATTAAGTAAAAATAGTTCACTATAGTCACATGATTTTTAAGCCAACTAGCGGATCAGTTCCGGCCGCCTCTCTCAAAAACTTCTCATTGACTTCTAAAGCAAGATAACTCAATGCAAAATGTGCAAAATCTTTGGACTTAGTAAACCTTTGCCTTCCCTTTTGAGAATAGAATTCATATTGCTTACGATAAAAATATTTCGTGTTATTTAAATAGCTTTGTAATCTAGGCAGATGTTGAAATAAAGTAGGTCTTGAAACGATACCTTGGGTGATAGTAATTTTTAAAGACCAAACGAAAAGACAAAGCAAACGTAGTCGAGCAGCTTTTACTTGAGGCGAACAATCTAACATTCAATGTAGAGAGTTTTCCCCGTTATCATTGAGTGTCCTCAAATGCAGAGAGACCCCCCAATAACTGAAAAAGCTGAACTACTAACCCTGTAGCAGGGAAACACGGCAGAATGAAAACATTACCTGAACTGCCAACGAACTATGAACGCATAGGACACCGCCCTCACAGCTGGTAGATTGAACCCTCTCTCACACTCACTGTTACGCTTCGTTTAATGCCTCAAACGATGTTCCCTCATTTTTGCTGTTTTTGTTGTTCATAGGCAGTGAATGTACGTGCGCACGATAAATCTACTGCGTGCGTTTGTAAAAGAACCCTGTGTTAGAACGGTCAAATAGATGTAACTGGCCAAAGGGTCTCTCTGTAAAAAAATTCTGTCCACGAGATTGGGCCGATTAGCATGGAATGTGGAATAGTGAATTCTAACCTTGCGAACTTTTTCTTTCGAAGATTTTTCTTTTCAGTTGAGGTTTGTATTTTTATTATTGCTATCCATGGCTTTCTGGCATTTGGATGGTAACTTATTTGCTCCGCCAATGTACAAAGTAGTAAATCCTGAAAATGTCGAAATTTGAATAATTTTCCCATCGAGAAAATGTTTTGCAAAAATTTTATGTCGTGGATTTGACGGATGATTCAAAGCTGTCAACTGCAGCCCGCCCCTATACTTTTCCCGCCATTATTTGTGCAATAGACTTCAGCCGTCGCATGTATTTTTTGTTAATCATTTACTCCGACTGTGAATGAAACTATTCAGGGGCAATCGACAACTCGTAAAGCTATATTGGGTAACATCTACGCTAGACTACCAAAGGGATACCGTAAACCTTTGCAACTGTACAGTTGCCTGGGGATGATTTACTTACCCACCCATCGACTAATATGCCTGCCTGTCATAATCGTAGAAAATTTATTTTCATCAGAAATCATAGAACAAAGCAACAATGATTCCTTGCTACAACGTAAGAGAGATCAAAAGCAAACGTTTTTGCATCTGATCCTCGTCCAAATCATGTAGTGCCCATTTTTCCAGCTTTTTCTGTTTGCTGGATCAATTCAACCGAGGCAAAGTATGATATGAAGTATGTATATGAAGTATATACATTAAACCTCAGTGTTAACATCCCTAAACTGGGTCGGCCTTCTTTACAGCTCTAAACACTTAACTGCTTATCTTCGTACAGAATTTTCTACGAGACTCATTCTCGAGTTCAAAATGCTCTTACTGGAACCTTTTAAAGCAATTGTACTTTCCGTATTAGATCCACAACTGGATACAAGGCTTCTCCGACAACCTATCTCTTTAAGATGGGGTTCATATTTGTAAATCACTTGAATTTTTCCATTTTTCATGACCGATCGCAATTCGTTTGACCATATGCGAGAGAACGATCCCAGATTGCAGTAAGTTTAACTGCGTTCGGGAACCATTACGGCGGTGCCCAATGTTGCGCCGTCATAAAACAGCGCCAGTTAGAAATATAAGACGAACTTTCTCGCGTTTTATACTAAACGAACAGATAGGCTTCTCTTGCGATAGAGAGCTTCGAACCTAACCGTTTATGACAGGGTTTGGAGGGTGTATATGACGCTCTCTTAGATATGTATATTTAATAGAAAATCAGAAAATGATGTTTTGTACAAGGATACAGGAACAAGTTGGCATACAGCTAGTATGGCTTCCTCCTAGATGGTCCTGCTACATATGTAAGGATACCTGTTACAAGTACCCCGCTGAAATGATAGAAAAATTCTTTTTAATCAAATCACTTCGTTGCTGTTAAACGGCATTTTTCGTCTATTCATGGTCCGCGTGTTCGTTTGGTCTTTTGGACTTGGGTTTTTTCTTGTTGAGTCGTTGAACGTTATCAAGTCAGGGTGTTCAACGCGTTCTGGGTAGATAAGAAATCATACGAAACAGAATATGTGACTGATCTATGGCAGCTGCTGGTGTAGATGCGTCAGGCCAAACCAACCAAGCAAGCAAGCAAGGGATCGTTTAGCACCAGGACAGATCGCTGGCCTCCGGCAGCAACTATACTATTTAGCTCGACGATACTTTCGGCAAGTGAAATCAGTAGAATAATATGTATGAGTATCTATACTATAATACGTAGTATTTCGAATGTTATTAGTGGGAAGCGGTCTCCTGCTTTACCCCCAAAACGTGATTGTAAAATACAAATATGCTCCCAGTTGCTTATATCATAAGCTATTGTAGCAGCCATTAGCTTTTAAATAATTAAAAAATCCATAGTAATATTCGTAAGAAGTTACCGTCTGAAGCAAAAAGAAATTGAAGTTTAAAGGGAAACTTTGCAATGCGAGAATTGGCTTGCCTGTTTTTCATATGCCTTCATAGACGTTCAAATAGAACTGGCCTAACGAGTAGGGTGGATTGCATCATTCACAGCACTAGCCCCGATCCCTGATCTGAATTGGTCTGAATGGTTCAAATATCAATTGTTCCCAATCAGTTTGATCAATGCGTTCGCCGTAAATTATTGGGAAAATCAATCGGACGACGAACAGAAAATACAAGTTATGAGAACATACAAGGTAAGGCTTACCTCTCTCCCTTCCCCGCTGCTACACCCCAGTCTCTATACGAACCCACAACTAGGCTAAGAGAATGGGTGGCCAAGCACGAAAACGTCACAACGCAGCCCCGCCTGCTAGGATAAAACCACTGCGATTAGTCAAGCACCGAGGTGAAATCCTCTACGTCTTAAAATGTACGTCCCCTTGTCCTTCTAAGGACAAAGAAACAGATACAGCTTATATGGTGCAGCACTGGTTACGGTGACGAAGTAGTAGCGGCAGCATCACCCCAGCTCCTGACATTCCCATTGTTTTCTTGTCTAGACATCATCGGCACCCCGACTGACCCCCTACAGCCCCCTTGATCTCGTCTGTTCGTACACTGGCTGCCCACTGTTCCGCATACAAATATAGAGAGACACAGAAACACTTACAAACTCACACAATAACTGTCGACATCCTATGTAGCGACCGTACGCTCGCTCAGTGGAATGCTTTTACTCAAATACGCCCACTTCACTCGGCCAGTGGCCAGCAACCTATAATTTAATCGAAGCCGCAGCGTCCGACGTAGCGTGCTTGCTGCCGTAGCTGTGGTTGTAGCAGTTGTAGTAATAATAATAGGCCACATTTGTGTCCGCAATATCTACTAGAAACCCACGATCCAACTACCCGTCGCTTAATACGCCAACAGCGACAGCCGAAACTCACTTGCTAAGTGCTTCATCGATCCACCGTCTTAAATTCGCTATCTCGACATCTAGACGCGCAAGCTCGCTAAGTATTCACCATCCACGGGCGGAGATGGTCGCGTGCTCAAAACGCGTCCATAGACATCCACACGTTGGCCTACTGAAACGTAAATTGTAGCAGACGTAACAATAACAAACTTGCAGCGTTTCTAGTTGCAGAATACACGTATGCAGGCGCACTGTTGGGCACGTACGCACGCAGATATACGCACATTCACGCACCACTACGATCCTCATTATCGTCGCCGCTGCTGTCGCCACCATCGCCATGATTAAAGGCGATAGACGAATAGTGGCATATGAAAGATTGTCTTTTTTCGGTGCTCTGCATGCACGCCAGGCTGGAAAGCGGCAGGAAAGTCTGATGTCCTCGCATAATTGCAACATTGTTCTATGGTTTTAAGTGGCTTGGTCGTACCCGCTGCAAATTGAATCCGCAATGGAAGTCTGATGTTTTCTCCGGTTCACAGATCACAGGGCGTATTTCCATGTGGTGTGTTCATAAGGCAGGCCGTCCTTGTCTTTGCCGACCCGCACGCCCTGCTCTATTCGACTATCGCCATATATATTATTACATTATATATCATATTGTTACGACTGTCAGCAACTAAGAAGACCTTTACGTAGCTTACTGCCATCTGCTCTCGAAAACCTGGGCTTGGTTTCTAGCCGAAGAGATGTACGAAGGCAACGGCTTATTATTGTAGGATGTCCGTGGAGTTAGTCATTCTGCGGTATTATTGATGAAACAGCGAGATATCATTGTAGTCTTGAATGGAAAGTTCTACGACTGAATATATATACAGACGTAAATATTATTTAAACATGGACAGTAGCTGTTTTTGACATAATGAATTAATAGCACCTCTCATTGCCCTCTTATTCTGTTGCATTTCAGGACGGCCGTCAGCTGAGCCTGGGAGCCCTGCGTGGAGTGCCGATGGTCGCCACATCTCCCGTTCGCCACGAGCCCGGCCAAGGCCCGCTCGGGCAGGCGCTCGATATTCATAGCTACCAGGCGCCCTGGAAAACTCTTTCAGACTACGCCGTCAATCACCCTGACTCCGACTTCGATCCCAATAGTCCGCAATTTAGACAACTTGTTAACCAGGTTTGTATTTCGTAAATACATTTCATGAAGATATCTGTCATCATAATGTCACTCTTGAGGGGGCAATAAACGAGCATATATAGAATTAACTGTGAGTTTTGTAAACTTATTATAAAGACAGCTTTATATAATCACCTTTGTCAGTCTCATTAGTAACTACCTTTCACAAGAAGCACACCATTTCATTTTACCTCCACGGGGTAACTGGAGGCTAACCGCGAACTCGCTTTTTCGTAATGGTGCAATAATAATTTTTACTTATTCTGAACCTTACTTATATTTATATTGAACATATATACGATTATAATATTATATGTGGTCACGTAAAAATTCGAGCGACTGTTTCCGCTGGAATCGACACCTTATTGCGAACGCCTTCAACCGGCACTTTCATTAAATAAACGGTTGAGCGTTCACTAGTTCCGTCTATTAATAGTGGGCAGTCTCCTAGATTCTGTATACTCCCCATTTTGGATCGCAGTTTCGTGGCATTGTGGAGCCAAGCAATGGAACCTCATCCATAATTCCGACCACGCACAGAAATATATATGTATATATTTCTCTATTATATTTCATATCCCTTCTCTAGATTATATTGCCGTGAACACGCAAGGAACATCCAAAGTTACACGGTACGCTGTACATTGCCATACGAATGACGTTATTGCCGTTACTTGTTAGAAGAGAGAATATTGAAACAGCGACTAGGACATCCTATAAATTGCTCCCACACACAGGCTAATGTTTCAATTTGCGAACTCGCAGCGAGGATTAATAGAATCTGAATATGGAATCAACTGCACAAAACAACAAGACAGCGTCATAATGTAAAACAATTTCAGAGGCTTGTCTGTGAAAACGCATTCATTAATGCGAGAGATATTTACAATCAGGTTTTAATTATTCGTATATTTACTTTGTTTTAGTTTTGAATTTGCTTGCATTGGAAGCCGTCCCTAGGCACGTTATTTTCTTATTAAAGTAAGCACAAGCCTTAGTACAGTATACTCCCAGCACGGTTCCATTTCTCTCGTACGGAACTCGTCCGCTAACGTAACATAATTGGCTATTGCAAACAGTCACATAGCGTTGTTGTGGTCGGCTGTTGTTGTTGTTGTTGCTGTCGATGTCGTCGGCACCTCACCGCTGTATCATCCCTCATCAAAGGAATCATCATCATGCTCAACCTAGGCTCGTTATTGACACAGAGATAGTTCTTTGGCCTGTGGCGACTTCCTACCAGATGGAGACCGAGCTTGCAACTCTGGACTTGGGATTTGGTGTGACTGCTGGTGCCTGGTGTCATCTGCCCTGGTCCGCCAACCTATCCTTCTGTGAGAGAACGTGTCTGTGTGTGCGTGTGTAGATGTAACGCCGCATGAATGGAGGATCATGCAACGTTTGCCTTTGAGGTACCTGCTCGAGCAGAAGTCTGCCCTGCATGTGTATTCGATGTATATCCCAGCAGGCCTAGAAAATCCAAGTCCGCGGATCGGCCGCTTGATCCTTTCGACTAAACACTCCTCAGCGCTTTGAGCGATGGTCGCTGCCAGTGAACAAGCGGACTCCGAGTCGAATCATAGAATCGAAATCGGTGCTGGCACTGTGTGAATAGGTCGTCGCTGGAGTGGCGGAGTCTGTAGTCGAGTGCGGAGTGTGTAAGCAGGCAATCATGGCGAGTGAATCTGAATCTCAAGACTAATTTGATTTGCGCCCTGGCTGCGTGCAACAGAATACAAGCAGCCAGGGCGAAACATGCCCATCTGCCCCGGTGCCCCCACTCCTCCGATTTGGTCACCCTCGTTGTCGGTACTCGGTCAGCCCAAGACCCCTTCCTACCCTGCCGGCTGTTCTCCTGTTCCCGATCGTAGGCACAGAGGCGGGTAGACAGATACAAGGCGAAAAGGCATGATACAACCTACAGCCAAACTCATAGACACACACGTACACATATATATGCTACATATATAGAATCGCCCCTATAAAGCAGCTACTATTGTAGCTGCGGTGGTTGGACAGGAAAAGTCCATTGACTTTGCACTGTTTGCCTAGTACTCATCGCACAGTTTCACCGCTGCTATGAGTGCTCGTTCTCGCTTCACTAGCGTTCCCTAAACTCTTCTTAGGACGAAATACTCAATAGTCCTGACATAGACTATTCTAATAGATCTGGGTTAACAAACGCCTTTGGATCAAAGACTTTTGTCCTGATTCCATGTTAAGTGTTCAGACGATTGTGAGTCATTGGAGGACAAAGGGTAGGAATCAACAGAAAAGGGACAACGGCAAGTCGTTTGTCCAAAATTTACCTGCGCAAACAACCAGTGAAGTCAACTCTTCTACCAAACAAACTCGAATTAAAAGTTTGAATTGTTGTTATTTAGGGTCCAATCCAGACAGCGTATTGTATTGGAGGCTTGCCATTTATGATCTTCACGGGACGACCCAGATTAAACGTAATAAAAAAATAATCTCTACCACGCGCAGGACATGCCTCGTTACTATAACCTAACCTTCTCGTTTAGCCTACAGTTAAAAATATTCGAAAAGACCTTGTAATCGTTTCATTTAACAAATAGCACCCTGACCTATTCTGATTCCTGCCGTCCATATGGACCTCAAAGTGGACTAAAAGGGTAAAGATTATTCTTGCGTGATATACACGTTTCTTTTATTTAACTACATCTGACAAGGCCTGAACCAGCGGCCGCTGCCTTCCTCAACTAGAGGCCTATTCGTCCAAGTCAGTTTTAAATACACGATATCCAATGCAGTCATCACACATGACAGAGTCCAAGCAAACATGATTTTCATTATTTATTTATTTGCAATCTCCATTTTAAATTCAGCGTTTTTCTCTCAAGGGTGTAATTCACACTGGTAAAAGTATAATATATATATATATATATATATATGTTCACCTTCATACCAAGCGAGCCTTTTAAAAAAGAGCCTAAACACTTGAAAAGATTAATGAGTTTTCCTCAAATGGGTGAGATATAAGCAAACGTAAATATCGAGACTCCTCTGAATCTATATACCATGCCTAAGAGTGATACGCTTTCAAACAGGTCGCACAAGGGATGCGGCTTACTACACTATAAAGGACGTTGAAAATTATATTTTTTTTTTAGAAAAGTAATAACGTGAATTAATTCTATCGAAAATTATATAAGAACATATAACTGTAACTTGTGATACTCGTTTTAATGTTTCTTTTGTAGACTGCAATTGCAATTTTTTCTATACGAAGCTCTTTGATTACCAATTTGAAAGATGCGGCTTCGAGAAACGGAAAATTTTTTTAAGAAATTGACGGTACTTTTCATTTTATCATTCAATTTTCGTACATTTATAGAGCAAATAGACAAACATGATTTGTGCGGTGACGGTAAGTTCTTTAACTTCTGTTCTTGTTATTGTTGCTGAATAGTGGGCTTACCGCTGTCCCGTGCTCAGCCTTCATTTGCTTTCTCGACATTGCCCCGGGGTGGTGCTAGCTTGCCCGCGCATTCGTTTGTTCATTTACTTGCCGCTTGGACTGTAGCTTATCAGCTGAGGAGCGGCCCCTCGCACCTCAAAGTCCGTACACCGACGGCCGATCAACAACATCGTCGGTGTCGCTCACCCCCCTCAAAGTACCCCGCCATCAACATCACTATCAACTGTCGCCGATGTACCGTTGCCATCTTGTCTTCGGATTGGTCTCGCTTGTGCTCCTTTCTGCGTTAGCCTTTAAGTCAGCTTATAATTCTTTATCGTCCTCATTGTCGAGGTCTTGCTGCTAGTCGCTGCTTTGAACTAACTGGGCATATACAAACTGCGTTTCTTAACACAATCCCTATTGAAGTATCTCACGTCAACTTTGAGCTGCCCAATACCGCTAGGACGGCTCGAGCGGCTAGTTTGTTCATTGTTTATCGCGCCTTCGGGTTCATCTTCGGTTCTTTCGGTCTGTTAGTGATGTGGTGGTAGTGAGTAGTAGGTTAACGGTAGTAGTGAGTGCAGGATAGGCACAGGAGTGGCGTATATAAAACGTAAGGGGGATGAAGGGGAAGACCTCTTTTGGCCGGCTTTGGGCATCGCCTCGTCTTTATTGCTCAACTTTAACGAACCTACCGTTAGGAGAAACAGAGCAAATAATAGATTTTATTTGTTTGTCTTTGCTCGAATTTAAAAATGGATCGAGAGCGAACAACGACAACACGAACGGACTAAGCGTAAATACAAAATATAGCTACAAACTTTTAGCTGTCGCTATTTGATCGTGCCGACGACGTTCCGGATTCGTTCTGCCGTAATCTCATCGATATGGCGCTCATCCGACACGTCACTGTAATCCCGTCCAATAGGTGCTCAAATACATGTTCATATTTCATGAAACCCAAAAGGCAATCAAGCAATTACGAAACGTATTTTTATTACTGGACCGGAAAAGGGTAACAATTGGGTCTGCCGCATTTATGAGTTTCTGCTCCTTTGTTTCGTCGCTATGTAAGCCTGCCGCCTTCTTTTGCAGGTTGAACCACCAGACAAGGAAAAAGGATTTTACTATGTGAAACACTATTTTATGCATTTAATAAATGTCGTTAATATGTATTTGTATCTATCTATCTATCTATCTATCTATCTGTATCTATCTATGTATCTATCTGTATCTATCTATCTATCTGTATCTATATGAGCTATGGATAATGATGCGGTCTTCTCCATTAGAAGCTGGTGTCCTTTGTTGTACCAGCTGAGGTGGTAGAGGTTGACTGGTCGCTACAAAAAGCGTCTTACCGTCACCGGAATACAGCTGCTGACCGTCATGCGGTAGCTGAAGTGTTCCCAGTGGAGCTACCACAGGTACTGCAGAATTTCGCGTTACTAGCTGTTCTTCCATTACGAGCTCCTGAGGCAGATCAAAATGATGCGCAAGAGACAGGTTTGCAGGAGTCGCTTGAGCAGATAAAGGAGAAGGTTCACGGCTTAGACAGTCCGGTGTGGCCATACCC